TCCTGCTGAGGAAACAGTTCTGCTGAAAGCTGAGATCCCCTGATGGGGACATCCCAGCACAGAGGGTGTCTGTGCCTGCTGCCATCTGCCATGTGCCGCAGCCCCATCCCTCTCAATGATTCACCACCATGTGGAGCAGCCGTTTCAGTCCCTGCCCTGCAGAGGTGTTCAGTGCTGCTCTTCAGGGACCTACTCACCACATGGGCTTCTCAGCCTACCCAAGCTGCTTCGCTAGGAAGCTACATGGCTACAGCCATGTTATTCACCCCACAGGCTGGAGAACTGTGTACTGCTCTGGAGAGCAGTGAGGGCCTGCAGGGATTTCCCTGCAACAGTCCCAGGGAGATCCCTCGCTGCAGGGACAGACATGCATTGGGTTTGCATCTCTGTGGATAGCTGGGAGTTTACCAGAGAACAGGATGGCTTGCACTTCATGTCCCAAGGAGCTCTGCTCACTCTCCCCTACGCTCCTCCTGAGGCACAGCTCATCTTCTCTCCATCTTCTGAGGTGCACACTCACACTGCAGCTGGAAAAGACCACTGTGGGGAATATGAATATTTCCAGGGATTTTTGCTTAAACCCGCTAAATATCCAGTATTCCAGCTGGCTATTCATGGAAGGTTGACAGCAGCATCTCGTTCAGATGTCAGAAGAAATTTGAGCAGCAACAGTGGAGAGAAAAGTGACAGAGAAAAATAAAAAGGCACTCTCTGTTGTTGCACAGCAATCACATTGTCACAGCTCACGAGAAAATACACTTGGCTTTTGGAGATAGGGTCAGCCTCCGTCCTCTGGGAAGACAAGGGTCTGTAATTCAGGATCAAGGAGAATTCTCCTCCTTATTTGGATCCACGTCACGCACACAGGCTGCTGTGGCCAGAGAAAGAATTGGCAATGGGAAGCACAAGGAAGGCTGCTGAGAGCTAGCAGTGGCTGCGTGACTGGCAAAGCACACGGAGTGGTGCTGTGCACTGATGCCCCTGCCCTGCTGCTTGGCACTTGTCCCTCACTCAGCCTCAGTGAGGCTGGGGCTTAGGCTGGAGATGCAGCCTCACAGCAAGAGGACTCAGGAGAAGCTGGTTTCTGACCTCCTTTTCCTGCCATCCAGCAGCAGGGCCTCCCTCTCATGGCTCAGCCTCTTGTCTTTTCACAGCACTCACGCCAAACCCCCTCAGACGCTATCACGGAGGTCTCTGCATCCTTCCACAGCCTCCTGCACAACTGTTCACAGCAATAACCCCCCGTTTCACCTGTGAAATGTTCTCTCCATGTAAACCAGATCGTGTCATCAGCATTTTGTCCTCATCCTTCAAAGCTCCCACCCTGACTTTTCCATTTTTACTCAGTGTCTGGCTCTGCCATCCACTGGCGACTCTCAACAGCAATGCAGCAAGTTCAACACCTCACCAGACAGCAAATGCCCTGCCTTGTGATTCCTGTGCCAATGAACATATTCGTGACATTATAGGAATTACAATTATCTTTGTGACAAATACAGGGCTGTGCCAGCCCTGGCATGGCCCCTCACTCTTACTGTGGTGATATCCAGTTCTGCCTCCATGCTATGAAGTTCACCCCATGGGCTTTCCCACCATTCTTGCAGTACCAAACCTGAGGATTTGGGCTACTTTTCAACCTGCAGCAGGCAACAGGGGAAAAAGGCATCAGTAAAATGGCAGCTCCCACCAGTGTTGCTTAGCTATAGTTGCTCTGCAGAGGCTGTGTGCAGCAGCTTGGTTTTGAGACATATCTAGAGCAAGGCAAAAGGGAGCTTGGATGTATCCACATGAGCTGTAATCACCCTCTCCTGACTGCAGCACTTCTGAAATTCCTGGTTTTACTCAGTGCTCTCAAAGTTTTGCTCATGGAAATTTTGCCTGCACTAGGAGAGAGCAGAAAGTGCAGGATCTGGTCCCTAGGAAACACCAGAGCAGATCCCTCAGGGCTGTTGAGCACTCACATGCAAGCAGAGCTCAGCCGAGGCTGCAGTGCTATAAAAGGCTGGATTTACAGCATGCACTCCAAGGGTCACTTTTAATTACACTGGTGTCTTACCTCTGGACTGCTGGGCAGAGGAAATGAGGTTAAATTTACCTTCAGAGCTGCCCCAACCATGCTTTCATCTTTTCCTGCAGGACTCTTTCTCAAGATGGAAATACACACTTGCCACGAGGAGAGGCTGTCGGACAGTTCAGCTCCAAAAGATGTTTTTGTCAAGGAGGCTCAGGGTTAATTGTGAAAATGAAACCAAATGACTATTCCTGAAGCCAAGCAGAATACCTGAATGTGAAAGGATATTTCCCAAAAGTTTAAATAGCTCAAAAAAACAGCTGTTTCCTCCAGGATTTGGCTTTATGAGGAAAACAGTCTAACCCCAAAATTAGACAGTTGTGAGCTGAAGCGTGACATCTAAACTGGGCACTGTTGCCAGAACGCACCTCAAGGTTATAGAGGTTTTTTTCTCAGGGCAGAAATCCATGTTTTCTGGGACATTCTGTTGGCTGTTTTAAGATCTATGAAGCCTTCTGTGCTGTGTTTTGGCTGGGATAATCAATTTCCTTCTCTATGTTTTGGATTTGTGCTGAAAACAGTGTTGATAATACAGAGATGTTTTTGTTATTGCTGAGCAGCGCTTACACACAGTCAAGGCCTTCTCTGCTTCTCACACCAGCCCGCTGCTGGGAGGGAGCAAGCAAATGGTTCTGCCAGCTGAGCTTAAACCACAACAGTCCTTTTTGGCACTTTTTGGCTGGGGTAGAGTTCATTTTCTTCATACCACCTACTACTGGGCACCCAACATGGGGCTCAAACAGTTCTAGATAACAACAGATTTGACTGGAATGTGCTAGGTCGAATTTGTACCCATTATTGCTGTTCAGCTATTAATCAGCAGGCTCCTGTGCTTGCCATGGGGCTTGCTTGTCTTGCTATAAATTAGAGTCTAGGGCTTGTTAGTGCCTGGTTTTTGCTTCACTGCTCACTGCAGCACTGCCCTGCTCATCAGCTTGGTCTATCATGCCTGGAACATTCTGGCAACAGCAATGGAGGTACACCTGGGCTGGCAGATGCACGGGGCACCACTGCTGTTTCCGTGCTGCTCTACTGGACAGGCTGGAACTCCACTGTGAATTCAAGTCAAAGGGACTGTGACCTATGGATGAGTCCATGCAGGAGCAGGACACCTCAAAGCATCTGTGGCTGTGGATAAGCCCATGTCAGAGCAGGTACAACTCAAAGTGTCTGAGGCTGTGGTTATGTCTGTGCTGTGCAGGTACACCTCTGAAGGGATTGTGGCCCAAGGATAAGTCCATGGTGGAGACGTAATACCTTGAAGTATCTGTGGCTGTGCATGAGGTCAGCATGCAGCCATAGATACACCCACAACAAAGCAGGTAGAGCCTTACAAGAAACAGTGCAAGTGCAGCATTGACCCGACCTGAGCTGGCGCTGGTGCCCAGTAACTACACACAGCACCACTTCTGTCTACATTCAGCAACACCACTGAGACCACTACCTGTACTAGCAGTGGTTGACCAGCTAAATTCAGCTTGACTATACACCAAAATCTGATAGTCATGTGCTATTCTGGTAGCTAGAAGAGCAGTGGCAGTTCGCTTCTGTACTAGATTCTTTCCTAAACCACAATGAGCACTGCAGGTACTGAAAGTCATGCACATTCCACTTACTAGACTCCCATGAAACCTCTTCAATCTTCACAGGTGAAGGAACCATGTTCACACATCTGTCATATGTCCTTTCAAATACCATGAGGGGAACACCACGCAGGTTGATATTGCTTAGTTTGTGCTCTTCAGGAAGATCAAAACTCTCAAAGTCTGTTTGTGAAAGACACACTGTAGTTTAGTAACAGGGCCCAGGCTTGGAACCCACAAATTCTCCTAGATTTAATGAAGTGGGAGCAGGTCCAAAACAACATAATCCAACAATCCCCCCCTCCCTGGAGTATTTATTCACAGTTACACCTTAGTTGTCCATAAAATCCCAAACACTGCACAATATAACTGCTAATGTAAAGCTAATGTAAAGCTTTTTGCAATTTCTTCCCAAGAAGCACAGAATACGTTTCATCAACACAAAGTAGTCTTTGGTAGAATAGTTTTGCATGCTCACTTCTAGATGAACTGGATGATTTAAGGACACACTTTGGAGGATTGATCAAATATCTGCAGTGGGCTGTGCAAAGAACAGTTTTACAAGTTGAAGATGAAACTATTATATCCCCTAGAGCAGTAGGAGTCTCTTCAGTTACAAACTACCATTCTCAGCATACAATCCTAAAGTTAGTCTACTTTTCAGTAACAGCCTAGGTATTCGTTTTAGTACTTGTCTACTAGTTGCTATTTAATGAATTAAGAGACTATAGCATGGTTATTTGGAAGTAGTTTCCTGCCATCACACTAAAGGACTCCGACTACTACATCTGTGGAACACAGCTACTGCTGTTAGAAACACTTAAGTGAGAGTGAGATGGTGTTTCAGAAGTAGCAAGCACTCTGATGTTTAAGAAGGGACTCCAGAGAAAAGCAATGCTAACTTATGTGCCACAATAGCTCAGAAAAAGGTTTTAAAAATAGCAACACTCATGAAAGCCTGATCGTTAATTTTAATAATTACACCAATAGTTCTTACCACAAGGATCAAAAGGAAACATATTTTCTATTTCTGGCCACTCTTCTTCAGCCACCGCAGCACAGCTTTCTAAAGCAGCAGTCTTCTCAGTGATCTTAAAAAGAGGAAGTCACATTATCTGAGCTACTGTAGTTTGTTTGTAATGGCTTTCCTGGGCTATACTGGTCTACAGGCCAGAACGCCTGCTACAGTCAAGTTATGCCTAAATACCTTCAACACAAATAACCTGGAGATGGACAAATGCTTCATTTATGCAGTACAGTACTATATACAGCAGCAATAAATCACTGCACTGGAATATTTACTCATAATATTAAGTTCCTGATACTTGACATGTGAACAAAACATTAACTCAGCATTTTCTCTAAAGCCACTTCTTTGTCATTAGGTACCCCCTATGCTCTTGTATTCCTTGTGGGTTTGGCTAGGATAGTGTTATTTTTCTTCTAGTAGCTCATATGATGCCATGTTTTGGATTCACAGTGAAAACAGTGATAGAGATGTTTTGGTTATGGCTGAGCAGTGCTCACACAGCTTTTTCAAGGCTTTTTCTGCTTCTCATCCCACACATTCATAGGTTTAAGGGTACACAAGAAGTTGTGAGGGAGAACAGCTGACCCAATACACCGAAGAATATTCTATATGATAGGACATAATGCTAAACAATGAAAACTGATGGGGAAGATTCTCCTCTGTCCCTCATAAGTGTGTTGTGCTCACCTTGTTTGCATTGCAAGGCTGACTTTTCTGTCTTATCTTTTCTGACTTGCTCGTGACTTCTTGAGTTCTATTCACATTTCCAAGAGCCTTTCTGACAGAGTGAGATGTGGCAGGAGATGTACCAATTGTTTTTTTGGGAAGTGGAGTCTTAACTTGTGTTCTTTCAGATAAGACTTTTGCTGGTGTGGGTGGAAGACAAAAATAAACAAGTTTTAGCACTATATCAGCCCTAAAGCTTGCTTCAGTAAGTGCATGTGCTGGAAAAGCAGCTGTCAAAAAATCATTGCCCACCACTTAAAACTCAGGAGCACAAGCCCCATCTATGGCTAAAAACAGTTATCTCCATTTTTATGGTAATTGATGAGCTTGGTAGAATTGGTTAGAGAAGTAGATATAAAGATAGAAAACTGTTACTGACCAAAACAGTGATTAACAAGACATGGATTTATGCACTTCATTTCATCCCCTACTGTCTTAAAGCAGCATGTACACACATGATCCTGAAGGGAGTCTTAGTCGATTCTTAGTAGCACCAACTTCACCATTCTCCTGATCAATAAAGATCAGAGTTGTCATCTTCAGGTTGATGAGACCACTCTGGGAAGCCCATGCAGGGAAAAAAAAAGAAAAAAGAGGAAATCATTCTTGTCGGTTTTTTCCCCACCAAAGCACACTTTTTAAACAGACCACACTAAAGACAACATAGCTGCCATGTGCTGGTCCTTAGACAAGGAGGAACAGACCTATACTTCACACCACTTCATAGCAGTTTAGCTACAGACCCTTACATTTGAAGGCATTATTAGTGCACATGGTAGTCTCATAGTCCTAAAAACGCTTGTATGAGTTCAAGACAGTAGTAAAGTCTCACTAGCAATCCTGCCTAGAAAGATCTAATACCTTTGGCTTGCTTTGTCACTTCTTTGTAGTTTCCCCAGTACAATAAGAGTACCTCTCCTAGCCAGGCAATCCAGTCTTTCGCTCAGAACATGCAGCATTCAAACAGGTAAGCACAATTACAGTCACTTTACTAGCAGAGACATGTTTTCGCCAGAAAAAAGAAACCATTAGAGGACGCCCTATACAAATAGTTTATTTCGTTACTGGTTTTCAGCCCCAACCGAGACAACAGATCAGAGCATTCCCTCACACCGTTAACTACGGCCAGGCAGCTCCCGCCTGGACCTTGTCACTGCCATTGCACAGGTGTGCAACGAGCCCTCATGCGAGAGGGGCCTGCAGGGAAAGCTGCTTTTAGCTGGTGCAGCTTCAAGTCAGGAGCTCAAGCACAACGTCAAAGCAAGACTGACAGCCGCAGGCCTCAGCACTTCCCTCAGGTTAAGCCACCTCCTGGTCACAGGAACCCTCTGTCCTCCCGCACTCCGGGGAGACGTCGGTTGTAAGCAGCGACACCAACCACCCTCCGCTCCCCGCCGCGCTCACCTGAAGCGCCACCGGCAGGTCCCAGCGCAGCAGCACCTACACAGGAGAGGGTCAGACCTACTGCTGGTTACGCGAAGGCCGAGCCCAGTCACCAGCACCCCCAAAGCAGCAAAGCGGCAGCGCCCCACCCTGTCGAACCGCCACCTTTTAAACCGCCTGCGCATCGCCCATTGGCTGCTTCGA